GGAGACCCCATTATTGAATGAGATATCAAATTATTCAGTCAAGAGTGAGTTAGGAGAGTTGGTGATCTCTTGGACAAATCACCGAAGGTGCCAAGATAGGTTCATCACGAGCAGGAAGGAACAAGGGAAAACAGGAGGTTTTCCCCGTGGACCGACCCCTAACGAGATCCTATTCCCGGGCCCTCAACACTTGTATTGGTCATTTCTTCAATAGATTGAATTACATTAAAATCACCTCCAACACACCACGGCCCATCCCATAAACCCCTAATATCTGCTAACTCTTCCCACATCAAGTTCCTATCCCTATAAGAATTAGGCCCATAAACACTTGTTAGAACCCAACCAAAACCATCCTGAACATTTTTCAGCTTGACTAACACAGTGACGTTTCCAATTAATTCCTCCGAACATTGAACCACTTCATCCTTGCAAGTAGTTATAATGCCCCTAGAAGCACCCCAAGAAGGAAGAAAACTCCAACTTACATCTCTTTCACCCCCAAAGCTTCTAAACCATCTTCTACCCAACTCGTAAATCTTAGTTTCTTGAATTAGAAGAATATCTGGTTTTTTGTTTCTAAGAAGCTCCTAAATAGATCTCCTTTTTGTTGCACCTCCTAAACCCCTCACATTCCAACTGATGATTTTCATTAAGAACCTTAAACAGATAACCCTAACCAACGACCTCCCTACAATACCCCTTTTCTCCTCCCTCCCTTGGCACTGAACTCCTTATCCCCTTCTACATCAATGATTAATTTCTCCACTAAGATTTCACAACACCCTCTTATGAAAACTATTTGTAAATACATGGATTCAGGCCCTATAGAGATTGCATTGAAGACACTCAAGTAAAGTTACCACAACGCACTCACATTGCACTGGCAAACCCAAGCTGCCACACTTAAACAACAAGGAAACTGCGCTAAAAAATACCCAGTCACAGCTACCACATCCTGAAAACCACTACAGTGCAGCCCACTCAAGTCTCAAATCACAACAAGAAGCAAACAAACTCACGATGAGATGTATTGAACTGTTGCCTCAACACAGAACACAACTGGATCTACTTTAGAGACATCATCATGGCAGCCCTCTCTGCTGTGATGACGTAACGTTGCCACAGAAAAATAGTATAACGCACTTATAAAGGCCTGTGACAACACATTGCTCAAGCACTGCAGCATGGCAACATAACACACAAAAAGACTGCAATGACGAACCAGCACACTAAGGTTTCAGACAAATGTCTTAAGGCATGAAAGGCTTCTAGAAGCAGATCTATAGTTGAACCCGTGCAGTCGTGCTCACATGCAGATCACAAGAAGGGCGGGAACCCAGATCTCCATAGTGAGACATCATGAAAGCCTACTCATAACCTCTTTGTCCCAAATTTAATCAAATAACAAACTTTCCCACTTAAGGCTCTCCATATGTGTACATTACCCTTGCCGCACATAAGCTCTGCTGGACTGTGTCCCCAACCTCCATTACAACTTCCATCAAAGCTTTCCTGCAACCTTCCTTCTTCCTTCCTTCCGAAGTCATCTACCGTCTTTCAGGTAGACCCTTACTGTTGCCTTACCTCCCCACCTACACTATCCATGAGCCAACCATATAAGTATGTAGCCCAAGCTCACCCTTGATGTTTCAGCCTATCAGATTTATAAGGAACTAGGTCATTTAGATCTCCCATGAGCCGTGATAAGTAGTCCCACTTACCACCTAAATGACATATAATATTACCTAAGGACCTTCCACATACATAAGAGTAACTGTAATAAGAATGCCTCTTAAATAAAAGTCTCACTTTTACTAATAAAAAGAAACAACACAATGACAAATCTGGCTTTAAATGAGCGCATGGAAACAATGTTTTCAAAATCTTATGATATACAATATGATTCACAATTTGAATCATGAATCCCAAGGTTTTCATTCAAACCTTATGTTTGAATACTTTTCTGCAAGAATCTTATGATTTGATTCATAAATCTTACGATTTATATGATTCCTACAATTCAACTAAATTCAATTAAGAATTAGTTTTCTATTTTGTCTTTTTTGTTCATATTTAATTTTGTCAAGGGAGACTTGTTTTAATCCTCTTACTAGAAATGATTTATTTATGTTATTTAAGACTAGACATTGAATTTATTTTCCATCATATGTAGGCTAAAGAGCCACTGTATGTGGAAATGTGGATTTATTTGACTTTCAATTCAAACTTGATTATATCATCTTAGACTTCTATTTTATAAGCAGCAAACTTTACTGTTTTAGCTTTTAGGTAAATATATGCATATATTGATTAAAAATAGGGTAAAACCACTTTCTTATATATATTTACCCCTTTAATATGTCTACATTTAATTGTTTAACAAGTTTGAATAAAACAGAAATAATCTTACGATTTATGATACGATTTACAATTCGATTTGCTTCAAATTTCTCTATTATTTAATATATAATTACAATTTTGAAAGCATTGCATGGAAATCATATTTCCAACATAGGCCTGGTTCAGATCAAGGTAGAATTAGTCCCGAACCAATAAATAAATGTTTAGAACCAATACCAAACCACATAAAGACCTAAGTGGTACTTGTAATTTGTAATTTGACAATAAACCTATTCATTTCTTAAATTAACGCATTTAGACATTATAATATAATAATGATGTAAGCTACATCATGAGAAAGAAAGGTATCATATAGGGGATATCTTTGTTACATGATAATATATAAATAATATATAATTTATATATCTAATTGGTTAGGGCCTTAAGCAGCTTGGAACAATTAATCAGGACACATAATGCATAGATAGGCCCTATATAATTGCACTAGTTGTTTGGTTCCTTCAGGTCTAAGGTCAAACCTGACCCATTGACAACCCTACTCAAGTAGTATGGCTAATTTATGAGTTATAACAAACTATAACCACAACAATAAATGAAAAAGACGATCCATCTTCATTTTTAGGGATGAGGATAATAATAAACAGTGAAAAAAAGTGCTCAACAATCAAGAAACTTGTCCAAAAAAAATAGTATAGCTGAAATGAGGTAGTTGAGGTAGATGAGTGCTAAGAGTAGAAAGGATGGATTTAGAAACAAACACATTCTAGAAGTCTTAGGTGTAGCTCCACTAGGTCAAAATATGAGGGAAAGACGATTGAGATCGTTGGACCATGCATCTAGGTGATTAATGACAGCACTAACAACACGAAGTTGCTAGATGGAGAAGACCAATGAAGATATCAAATGAAGTAGTAAGAAATGATCTAAGAATTTAAAATGTAGTAGAAAGGATGACTTCTAATAGAGCATAATAGCAAGAAAAATTTCCTGTAGCCAACCACGAATAGTTAAGATCAAGGCTGAATTAAGTTGAGTAGGGCAAAAGAGAACACAACATCAGCTCCTTTAAATAGAATCAAATTCTGAATTTTCAAAAACAAATTAAAACTAGATGTGCTACAACGTACAGCCAGACATGCATGTTGCAACAACATTGGGATGTTGCTGATGCCAAATACAAAGATATTAAATAACAATAAACATAAATACTTGCAAGGAAGTTCAACTCTCAGTTTGGTTGGGTCAAATGGGATGCAAATGGGATGGCGGATACCCTAGCAAAACAAGGGGCAAATAGATCTTCATTGTATTGGGCAGAATTGTAACTGATTGCTGGAGATTGCAGTTTATTCCTCTGCAATCTTTATCTATTCTAACTTAATTTCTCTGTTATTAATGAAAGTTTTTTTGCTGATCAAAAAAAAAAAAAAAACAATAAACATAAATGCTTTGAAGCAAGCCAATAAAGTGGACAGTGGATACAACAAGTATAAATGTGAACACCTTGAAGTCAGCCAATAAACCACATCTTAATGAACTTAATTTTTATTTTTGAATATATGAAATATTTAAAAGGAAAAAATATTGATACGCTCACCAATTTCTTCAAGTTCTGCCTTTGGATTGGGAACAGAAGTAACTTCTTGGACAGATTCACTTGGTACCCCATTTTCTTTTCCTACATTACATACAACACAATGTCAGAATGGGCCGTCCAATGTAGAAATTGGATGCACATTAAAATATTTAGTCTTATAACAAACTATTCATGCACTTCAGTTCCTCCATGTCAGGAAGGTTGTAAGCAAAAACAAAAACAATATTTCATTTTAACTACCATATGTGCCACTCAGTGCAACAATGCATTTTGCCAAAGTTAGGGTTGAAAAAGTTGGAACTTGAATTGCTGATATGATCTCACAATAACAGAGATCCAGGCCAAGTAAAATAAGTGATGGAACTCAGAAATGCTGAACTTTCACCTATATGGGTCTCTATTGTTATAATAATTTCAATAAGCCTTAAATGGCATACTCGCTTGACTTTGTTAGGAACCATGACCAAATGATTTAATCCATGACAGAACCACAAGCAATGGTGATACCCCAAAATAGAGAATAAAATACAAGAATTATGTTTACATCTAAAGATTTTTGGAGGAGAGATTAAGAAGCCTTTTAAAAAGATTTTTCAATGCTCAAATTCAGGTTTTAAAAATAAAGAAAAAGCTCGGAAAGCCTGTTGGGTAACAACCAATGTTCTAAAACGCGGAGGCATGACGTGAGGTGTTCCACTACCTAGAGGCGTGAGGCGTAGTTCAGAACGCAAGAGGCATAAGCCTCCCAAACACAAGGATGCATAAGCCTCCTTAAGAGGAGGGGGTTAGGAGGAGGATGAAGAGATCTCATTTTTTCTTTATTTTTAATAAAAATCTTTTATATTAAGAAGAATAAAGATGAATAAGATGTGCATGAGGCACATGAGGCGTACGCACTTTCTTCCCCCTTATCTTTTCTTCCCTTCCCTTTCCTTTTCTTTTCTTTCCTTTTCTCTTTTTTTCTTCTCTTTCTTTTTCTTTCCCTTCCCTTTCTTTTCCTTTCCTTTCCTTTCCTTTTTTTTTTCTTTTTTCTTTTTTTCTGTCTTCTTATATAAGATGTGCATGAGGCATACGCCTCTAGCACGCCTCAGAGGTGTCAATGCCTCTGGCATACGCCTCAAGGCGTTTTGGGAGCACCTCACCTGGAGGCGCGCCTCCAGGCGTACGCCTCCCACGCCCTTTAAAACACTGGTAACAACACTACACTCCAGACCTTCGCTTTTGGTTTTACAACAATGGAAAATAATCAAAGAGTGTATTCCGGTCACTTTATAAATAACAATCTTGACTGGTATAACAATATTGTCAAACTTGGACGAGACTAGATGATTGGACCATCAAAACTCAAAATAGAGAGATACAGAGTTGATCAATTAGGTCAATTGACTGGCTCTAAGGAAAGAAATACATGACTGAAGGGTTACTCAGGAAAACCATTCTAGGTTAATCTGTTCTCGGGATGCATTGCAGAATAAACTGAATCATCTGCAAACTGTAATAGAGGAAATTCCAGACTATTTTCTTCCACACCGGAACCTTCCAAAAAACCCCCTGACACTGCTCTCCAAGTTAATTTCCCTAAAACTTCCATCAAACATAAATATAATGTATGTCTGTTTGCACCCTGTTTTGCTAGAACATTCGCCATGTAATACTTGTTGTTGTTTCCAAATTTAACTAAGCTTCCAATGTACATGGTTTTTATATAGCATGGTTTGTTCAACTATACCATTTCACATATTTTAAGAGTGTCTATGATATAAAATGTATACTTTAGATGTGTCCATGGCATATGGCCATATTATGTACATACAATGTTTTAAAAGCGCAAGGCGCAAAAAAGGTGCAGGGGTCAATTTGCGCAAGGCGCAAAAATGCAAAATTGCAAAAAAAATAAAAAAGTTATAAAACATAATATTAATAAAAATATAAACATTAATTTTAAAATAAATGTTTTAAAAAACTTATTATCTAATATTAAAATACATAAATATAACATGTAAAACATATTCAAATGAGAATTTAAAAATAAAATCAAATATATAAAACACTTTCAAGCAAATAAAACCCACAATCTCTTTTTTTCTCAATTGCATTACTTCAAATAGCTAATGTGATGTAAAACATATTACATTCCTGATTCTACGAGCCGTCTTTGTACCACGCCCCTCAAGGCAAGCCCAACAAGTCCATGTTAGGTCTTAAATTCTTAGTTCTCACACAAAAAATAATGATTTTATAGTTTTAATTGCTTTTTAAGAAGACATTTTACTAGGATGAATGAATGAACATTACCAAATAGGTGGACTTGTTTAGACTTGCCTCAAGGGGCATGGCATGGGGGTCCGGGGGCTCTGCCCCTGGCCCAACCGCTAGACACAAAAAAAAGCAAAAAAGCGTCAAATTTTCAAAAGGCGCAGGCCTGGGCTGAGGCGCAAGGCACATCAGGCACACGCCTAGGTGCACCAGGCATGTGCCTTTTGAAAAGGTTGCGCCTAGGACCTGAGCGAGGCGCCTACCCTGAAATGCACCTCACCTGCAAACTTTCTAGGTATCAAGCCTTCAATTGGGTTCTATGATCTGCAAACTTTCTTGATGACCCACTAACAAGACAGTGTGCACTTAGGTGGGCACATATGTTTGAAATATGTTTGAAACTGGGCACATATGTTTGAAATATGTACCATAGCCTTCAATTGGGTTCTATGATCTGCAAACTTTCTAGGAACTAGGCACATATGTTTGAAATATGTACTATAGGCATGTAAAAGTATCTAGGTATCAAGCCTTCAATTGGGTTCTATGATCTGCAAACTTTCTTGATGACCCACTAACAAGACAATGTGCACTTAGGTGGCGTTTGACAACACTTTTTAGACCACATGGTGGCGTTTGATAACATTTTTCAGACCTTTGAAGTCTGAAAAATGTTGCTTTTCAAACGCCACCTATGTTTGGGTTGAGTCTAAAAAAATGATCTGAAATGCATTTTCAAATCTGAACTTGTAAGAGGTGGGCCAGTGACTTAACGCACTCAGACGCATTTCAAACCGCGTTAAAAGACAAAAATGCCCATACTCGTTATGCCCCTCATTCTCCCTCTGGCCTTCTCTCTCCCCCCTCTCTTCTTCTTCTTCTTCTCCACTCGACGACGAACCAGCAGTGCAAGCTTCTCCCTCCGCCCTTCTCTCTCTCCCCCTCTCTCTTCTTCTTCTCCACTCAATGGCGAACCAGCAGTGCAAGCTTCTCCCTCTGCCCTTCTCTCTCTCCCCCTCTCTTCTTCTTCTTCTTCTTCCCCAACATTCTCTACATCCTCTGCTTCACAGATCCACAGATCCGTTTCGGTTGGGAAGTTTAGGAATGTCGATGCTGCTCTCGGCGACGTGATGGCAAAGGCGCCACAAACTGGTTACGGCAATATCCCTTCAACAGCAGCTTCGACTTCGACCTATGCGATCAAGTTCAAATCCCACGCAAAGGAAAGAGGGAAATTGATCTGCACTTCTTCCGTGATGAGTCGCTTGTGGACTCTCTCCCCAGTCTTCCCGCCACCGCCGCTACAACTCTCAGCAGTGGCAGTTAACACCCTCTCCTGTGTCATCTTATACGTACTTTCCAATTTTATTCTTATTTTAATAAATTATTTTTTATTATTTCATAATTTTTATTTGTATTAATTATTAAATATTTTAGTAGTTTTAAGATATTAATTTGCTAATTATTAATTTTTTTTTATTGCTTCATGGACTTCATTACTATTTTCATTATTATTTTAACTTTTAATAATTTATTTCTAATTTATAAATTTATATGTATTTTCAATTTTATTATTATTTTTTTATAATTTGTTCATATTTTTATATTATTTTGAATTTAATAAATTATTTTTTATGAAACAGTACAAATTGAACACAAAATTACCAAATAGTCTGTTTTAGGGGTAAATTAGTAAAATTAGGGAATTTCAGATGCTGAAGGTTTGATCCAACACAAACAATCTTCTCTATTCAGTGTCTCTAAAAAGCCGAAAAGCACCTATCTCTCTTTTCAGACTTCAGGCGTTGTTAATATCTTCTTAACTTTTCAGATTTCAGATTTATCAAACGCCACCTTAGACAAAACTTGTATTGGGGACCTTACCCCTCCCCCCTTTTACTGGTGCACCTGTTTAGGTATTGGAGTTCTGTTGTGTTGGGATGAAGTGGGAGCATGCTAGCTCTCATTTTCTGCTCTTTCGCAGGAGTTTCTGACCCTCCCTTTTCCTTTTAACTTTTCAAACCATTTTTTCAATAAAATCCTTGGTCAGTTACCAACAATAAAAAAGTTCAGTAAACATCTATCTTTTTTATGAAGGATCATTTGATGTTATTTCTCTACATATAAAAATGAACTCATGATAAGAATTACAGTTAATGGAATGATGAATTTCAGCCACTTCCACATTCGTCATTTTCTCTTTGCTCTGACTCTATTGGACTACTTTCTATACAAGCTACTGCAGTATCAAACCCTCATCAAGAAATAAGATGCAAAGCACCTAGACATTCAAAACTAAGAGAATCTATTTTAACAGCATCAGCATCTAGGCCCTGTAAGAAACCAGGCTTTCACCACGCAGAAAACCAAACCCTAACACTAGAGCAAGAAATAGAAGATTAGAAAACCAAATTCCTAGAAACGGGTGGAAATCAAAATTCGAAATGTAACCAAGGGATAATACAAACCCTATGTTCCACGCTTTAGATGGAATTGTACAAAGAGAATACTGATCCAAAAAAAAATTGTACAAAAAGAAAGAAAAGAAAAATGGACGAAGAGATGCATATAAGACCAATTTCAGACCATCAAAATAAGAACACGCAAAGATATTTTGTTCTCCGCTACATCATCTCCCTATAATTATAGACATAACTGCATCCTTTATCAATAAATCATCAAAAAAAGGAGAAGAAGCAACAAAACTCAAATTTCTTCATAAAGAAACAAAATTCATGCAGAAAAAAAGAAAAAATGGAAAAAAAAAATACCTGGACGATTTTTGGGATCGGTTTTTTCTTCAGGGGACGTCATTTGGAACACTCGATCTTTCAGACTCAGATCATCAAAACACCACTACAACCTGAAACGAAGCATATCATCGCCTTCCCCACCGCAGGTCGGTCCAGAATCAAATTATGAAACCACAACAACCTAAAGTGAAATCGTCTCGCCAAACAAAATATGAATGCCAACAAGGTCAAAGACTCAAAGCGAAGACTCGAAATGGAGAGGGCAACTTGGCGGTTGGTGTCTATGAAAATAAAAGCGCGCGTAAGTAAGAATACAGACCTCCTGCTAGCGAAACGATGGAGAACAGAAAGCAGTAAGATGGATAAAGCATGCAGTAAGATTCGTGGAAGCCATAATAGAAAAACGAAAGCAGTGAGCGATGGAGAACTCACCGTTGATCAATCACGCAGCAGCGGGAGAGGACGATGGATCAGAGTCAGCAGACCTCCTGCACGCGGCGACAGTTGCCGGTTGGAGATAGGGTTCGAAAATGAGGGTTTTTGGTGAGGATGGTAAGTTTATTACACAATTACCGATTTACCCTTTGTCTCACGTGGATATTGTTCGCACGTATACGGTTTTTAAAGCGTCCGCCCCGCCTATGGCGCGTGTTTTTGCTTAAACCACTTTTTCTTGTTTTTTCCGGTCCAAATACAATTCTGAATTTCTGAACAATGTTCAGATAACTGGACCGGGGATAGCATCATAGCACCCGAGAAAGAGAAAAATTCATGGATTAATGGTTTTAAGACAATATGCATAAATAAAAAGTTATAGGTTAAAGTCTCACCATTAGCATTTTGAAAATTCTTTCATTAAGTGATCTGGGCGGTTGTCTAAAATCGAGACCAATTCACTGATTATTTTTATTAAACCAGTGAGTCAACCAGTTTTGATCGATTTTTTATAAGTTCTGGTTTATGGGGTGTGACCAAACTAGTTAATAATTATTATGGGTCCGGGTCACAGTTTAACCGATCCGTTGCAAATGTTGTATTTTGGTTTGTCTAGCTCCATTCTTGTCAATCCAGTATTTTGGCCTAAAACTGACTGGTGAGTTTCTTCTCCTTTCAATCTGTAAATATAGATTGAATTGACCATATGTTTTTATCACCTTCTAAAAACACAATGGAGAATGCGGAAGTACAAATTCTACATTTAATTTACTAGATTATTTATTATTGAACCTTCATAAACTAATAGTTCTTAAAGAAGGATCATTTCTTATATAGAGGAAATTGACTGCTGCATTATCTTGGCCTCCTAGATACAACGGTTAGATTGGTAACACCTAACAGTATTATATATGGGCTTTATTTTAGAAGATCCCAATGGAGAAAATGAGAAACCCTCTTTTGGATCTGAATTTCGCTCTCATGTGATTGAGTTTAAGGCGTTATGTTATGTGATACGAATATTTTAATGGATCAACTTTGGATTTCAAATGGATTTAGTGATCCTGGCAGAGAGAGAGAGGACCTCGTCTCGGTCGATCATTCCAATCAAATGGATTTTAGCTTTCTGAAGACAGTAGGCCAACATTGCCTTCAACCTCATCACGAGCCCAGGGGCCACGGTTTTAGTTTAGTGACAACACTGCTCTGAGTCTGAGATACTAGTGAAATTGAAATCTGGCTGGGAAGCACCGGAAAATCGTAAAATCAAGTTAACGGTTTCAAAATTTAACGAGTTACATATTCAGAAGACAGAAGCAATTCATGAGCTACAAGCATAGTTTTCAAAACCGGACCGGATAGTCGGACCAAAAAAAAGGGGAATTGGTCACTTGACCGGTTCCGTTTTACCTCAGTACCATCATTTTAGCCAAAAACTGTTGATTTGGTCAATAAACCGCCGATTCAGGCAGTCGAGTCGTTCAAACCATCCAACGGTTTTTTGTTGTTTTTTAATTTTTTGTCAGAACAGGTCGTCCATTCGGTTCAAATAATCGGACCGTTCAACCTAAAAACCAGACCCCTGAATGGTTCATTGTCTGGTTTGATTTTAAAAACCTTGGCTACAAGGCACAAGACTGCCTCAGCTGCAGCAACACTAAGACCCCGTTCGTTTTTTGGTAAGTTACTTACCCAGGTAACTGCAGTTACCTGGTTAAGTTTTTCCTGGGAAACACTTACCCGGGTAAGTGCATTTACCCATATTCTTTTATTTCTCATGTAAATAAGACAACGACCATTCTAGCCATAAAAATTCATTATTAAAAAGGGCATTTCTGTCTCATTCAAGTGTTAGCAACTTTCCCCCTAGGTGGGAAAGTTATTTACCCAAGTGATACCCAGGAAAATAAGCTTTCCCTGGTCCCCACATAAACCTAAAAAACAGAACATGGGATTCTTGGTCAATGAAAATTTGGGAACCAAAATCCCATTGACCAACTTTCCCCCCTAAAGCATACATGTACATGTTGGCATGTTGCCTCCTAAACAAGACCTTCATGCCAAAGACTAGCCATTGTAATGCCGCAATAAAGCTTCCAATGCTGCCAATCGTCTAACTCACCACGACTCGACCACATATAATTTAGTTTAGACAACTAGCTGCTATTATGTTATTAAACCTTCATGCCATGACAACGTCATGGTAAGCGTCGAGAGGTCAGGAGGTGTAGAAGAAATTTCTACATCATCCTACAAAATGCCACGACCTTCTTTTTTGAGTTTCGACCTCCTACACAAGTTCTTGAACATCCAATCGCAAACTTTCATATAATCATTCGATCATCCAATCGCAAACTTTCATATACCACCTGCCTTTTTTCAATACTGCCCACTAGTTTTGGTAGTTATTTCCTCTCCTCCACCGGGTAATAGTGCCATAGGAGGAACAGTTTATCCTCCACCCAAAAGATGTTGCACTGTCTCGCCATCTCCCAACCCTCCCTCTTAAGCGTAGTCCAAATTCATCTGATTGAAGACTTATTTTTCTCAATTGGTGTCTCATCTATTAGTGAATTCTTTATGGAGATGGAGATAAAAACGAAACTCATAAATAATAATTAGATTAGACTTGTAGATCTACAATTTGGCACAATGGAATCAAAATTTTTTTTGTAAAAACATTTCAATTTGATAGTGAGGTGAATATTGAATTATTTGTTCTTTTTACAAAATTATTTTTTTTAATGCAAATTAAGATGGCTCTTTTCTCTTCTCTTTTTTTTTTAATGTTTTATGTTGGTTTGAGAATATCAAAAAGTTTATGGTGGTGGTATGTTACCGATGACAAATAGTAGTGGGAGAAATAGGGAGAAGCAACAGTGGTGGCAGTCTACCAGAACACCCACTTAAAAAATCTTTTAAAAGGGATTGTTTGAAATCACGATATATCTCATTGGAAAGAATTTCTATGTCACCTGAAACAAAAAGGGCAGTGCTGATGAAAACAAAAGGTTTGTCGGTGAAAACATGAAGAAAATGACCCCTGTTATCCTCCACCTAATTTGCCTCTCACCGCTGGTGAATAAATTTCTAAAATAATTATATAAATGAGCATAGGTTAAATCATTTGCACATGTGAAACACTGTGATGCTTGCTGGAAGTTGTTTAGAACGGTCTGTGCAGGAGATCCTGACGCCTTTTTTTCTGGACTAACCATGTCATTACGGGAAAAGCGCGCTTATACAACAAACCAAGGGTCTAAACTCAACAATCAAAGGCCGTTGCAGAAATAAATCTAAATCTATAATCTGTGTTGCTCGGACCGCTCCCAAGTCCTTGCTGAAACCAAAAGTAGCAGAAATAAAAATCCAATTTCAAAACCTAGAAGCCACCTACTCAACAAACACTCACCTGAGGAATGTAGCACCATCCAAAAATGCCAATTTAAAGTTTTTAGAAATGAATGGAAAGACAAGAGGAACCCTGGTAACCATAGAAATTTAGAGAGCATGGCGGTATCGAATAAGATAAACAATGTAAGGTAAGATTTCTTGCTACCCCGCCCCCCAAAGCACACAGACACGTAATAGAGAGCAATGGAAGAAAAAGAAAGAAAACACTACCCAATGAAACTACGTTCATTTGCCTGTTATGTTCTATGTTAAAATCCTCCCCTTAATCTTCTAATAATTCTCAAAAGAACAGGAAAAAAGTCTTAGACTATTTCAAAGAATCACAGCTTTGTTTATGGTATGCGTAGCATGGGAAGCCTTAACTTCCTTACGTTGAAAGGCAATCCTGCATGGACTTTGATAAATGGATAAAGTGCCTGTGTCGGACACACATTGAACACCAACACCTAATAGAATCTTCAAAGACGGCATTCTTCCTTTTATCCTTTAAATAAAGGGTTTTGAATATGATATTGGAAATACATCTTATCGACAAACTTGTAACCAATCAACCGGTATCATAAAATTGACAACCAATCAGATGATGTTTATAAAAATTCAAGGGGAGGCTTTCCCGCAGGCATAGGCTTTCCCTTAAATAACTTAACAACTACAAGCTAATGTACACAATGAATACAAGTTTTCCATATAATGCCCATCAAGTAACAAAGAAACTTTTTTTTGATAAATAAGTAACAAAGAAACTTCGTTGCACACCTTTATGTTATCCAAAGGTTTCAAATGTTAAAATTCAACAAAACATGCATTTTTTTTCTATTAGTCATGTTCAGAAGTCTTTGTTTCTTTCATATTTGCTGAATGCTGATTCAGACTCCTGCAGGCAATTGGCTAAGACCAATAGTAACCTTCCTGATAATTATCCAAGTCTTCCAATAACCTCTTAGATGCTTACAATTCTAAATAATGCAAGGACCTATACTGCCCAAAAGTCCCTGGGTATGTCAAGGCATATATCCTATCCTCATGAACAAAAAGAGTCCCGTGATGAATAAATTGGATAACTTGCTTCCCCTAAACTCTTCTGAACTAACAAGCTCCATGCAATACCCTAGACACCAATGCATACTCAACTAGAAATGCAGTAATTTCTCCATCTTCGACAAGCTCCAGCAGAAAAGGTCCTCTCAAACTCTCACTAAGTCACCTACTTTCTACACTCCATTGGGAGGGGATGAAAATTGTAGTAAGCTTAAACATACAGAACCACTTACTCCTCCTCTGAAGAAATATTTTCAAACTCAGATTGGATTGCACAGTCTAATCAGTAAACCAGTAAGGTTTATAATCTGATTTGGGTCTAACAACAATACCATTAACAACATATGCAGAAGCACCCTAAATGCCTATGATCCTTAATCCCATGTTTTCATGACTTCACAAACAAGTCACAACACATCATTGCAAATCAGTAAAGTGTTAAAATCCATCCAAAAAAATAGCAAAGTTTTAAATCATCATTTATGCTTTAAAAATCTGTGTTCACAAAGGCAAGTTCTCCCATTACTCCAGCAACTGTACCCCGGCTGATTGGATCTTGTTGGCATCAACTTCAACCTTCACTAGCTACCAACATATCATCTAAATATATTCCCACATCCTTTTCCTACATCATTCAGTACTTTTGCAC